TGGTTCTGAGGATTGAACCCTGTGCCTCACACATGCTAGGTGAGTGCTCTACCACTGAGCTATAGCTCCCAGCCCATGTCCTGATATTCTTTAAATAAAGTTAATAGTGGGTAGAGATTATCATTGGCATGTTTTGTCATTGAATTTCAACTTTTTGTTACCTTAATAGTCAGTAGTGATGCTCTGTCTTACAATAATGGAGTTCTTTTATTATTTTATTAAGTAGTGAGTTTTGTGCAGGTGGTAGAGGTGGGGGTGGGTGAGAACTGGCATCAGGCTGACCCGGGCTGGAGCTGGCCGTGTGCTATTTGACTAGTCTATTTTCCTTGCAGCGGTCCCCTTTTCAAGGGCTTCTCTGAACAAATGCCTCTTAGGTTCCAACATCTGGAAGGGCACGGGGCCCTCTCTCTCCTCTGACAGCAGGACCACAGTGTGGCTGCCATGCAGTTGGATCTGACTTCCCCACAGCTCATCATTTTGACAAACATGTCTCAAAGTCCCTCAGAAGAGACGGACTCAGTTTTAAATGAGGGCCAGTGTGGTGGGTGCTTCTGCCACCTACGCAGCAGCATCTACTCCACCCAGGTCATGTGAAGGGCGCGGTCTGTTCTGGCCGTTGTGGGGCTAGGCCGGGCTGGCCAGAGGTATCTGCTTTCAACCCAGTCCAGACTTGCATGCGGTGTCCATGGGATAGTCCAAGCTGCAAATCAGAGACAAACTGTACCATTTTCCCTCCCTCCCTCCCTTCCTTCCTTCTTAAGGATCTGGTTTGCAATTGGGAGGCAGTAAATAACAGCAGGTAACAGCAAACACTCTGGTTTCACACGCTTAGTTTAAGTTCTGGCTGTGTGACTTTGGGCTGATTGCTTACCCTCTGGGAACCTCATGTGTTAAAGGGGACACATGTACCAATTTCACAGCTTGTTGCAAGATAAAATAGAAACATTCACTGCATACAACATATAGTGTCTGGAACATGGTAAGACTCCGTGAATCATAGTGATTATTACCATTATCCTGGAAATTCAGAGATCTGATTTTTGCCTGGAAGTTTTCATATAAGGTCACTCTACGTAGTACTACGATAATTTTTCCCTCTCTCTCTTTTCCTCCCTCCCTCCCTTCTTTTTTTTCCTTCCTTCCTCCCTCACTCCCTCCTTCAATTCCTAATTTTTTTCCTATTAAAGAATCTTCCAGACTCCAGCTAGCCTTTGTAAAAAATAGAAGGGTTAGATTCTGTCCTGACTAGAAATACTCATTTCAAGGAACCCAACTAGAAGTGATCAATGCAAAATTGATTTTTAAGAAATTCGAATGTAGACGTTCCCACTGTGCCTGGAAAACAACAGGAAGCTTCCGCAGCCCGAAGGCTTCCCAGAAAGCTGGAGCTGAGGCCCTGGCCTGACTCAGCGTTGCCCTGGCAACAGGAGGGCCTGGAGGGCCTCAGTCCCTGATCCCTTAATCTGAGGCGCTGCCACACAGTGCCTCAGGAAAGGTCTCCCCGACCTGGCTGCTCACCGCTCTGACTAAAGAGGGAGCAGGAAAGATGGAGTCGTGGCTCTTTCTACTCAAGATAGCTGCCCACAATTCTCCCTGATGGCCAGGCTGTTCCAGATCCCTGAGGGCTCAGTTTACAGAATGAGGCTGCAAAGTCGCCACCAGATTCTAAGTGCTATCAGGGCAGCTGATGATTTTCTGATCCTTTTGTGTTTCTTCATGGAGCCCAGCACAATGCTTTGCACATAGTGGTGCATAATACATACTGGGGGCTGTATGACAGCGAGCGTCCCATTCGCTGCCTCTTGTATTAGTATCAGTGAGTTGGCTTGGGTGACCAGCTGTGAAGTAACAGGGCTCGGCTCTAAAGTCCTCTCTGCCTTTGAAGTTCTTTTTGATTCTTAGTACAGCCATCATTTTTACAGACAGCAATGTTCTGCATGATATGTTTCCGTTTTCCCCAATTTTATCTTAAGTCAAAAAATCTGCAATAAAATGGAATAACTTAAAAGTGGTGCTGACTTTTTTCAGCAGCCACACAGGTTCCAGGGAAAGAACTTTGTGGCTGAGCACATTGGCTTGGGAGCAGAAGGTTTGAGTTCAAATCCTGACTCTACCATTTGGTTGCTATGTGACTTTAGGCTTCCTTAACCTCTCAAGATCTCAAGCTCTTCACCTATAAAATGGGTGTAATGGTACATATATATCAGAGTTTATAATGCCCATAAGGTCTTCAAAAATAAGTGTTCAATAAATGGCAGTTAATTCTTTATGATATACAACCTCATGGGGCCAATGGCAACAGACAACTTAGAAATTTGAGTCTTTCTAATTAAGGATACCCAAAGAAATCACAGTGAGAGTACCAGACAACCCACAGGCATGGGCTCCCACCTGTGGCAAACCTGGTGTGGGGCTGAAAGGTGGGTTTAGAGCTCTGTCCACTTGGACATCAGGATGTGGTTTGATTTGATTTTCTTCTCACCACAGTAATTTTCTGTTTCTGCCTATTGAAGAAATTTCCTTCTCGGAGATTTGTACTTTTAGAATACAACACTAGTGCACTGAACTTGTTTTTTTCCTAAGTTAAATCATCATTAGCCATAACTTAATAATGAAATTAGCAAACTTTGAGACCTTACTATGTGCCCATATCTTTGCTATGTATTTATGCTTTATGTTACTTAGGTCTGGGAACAATGGGAACTTCTCTATCCCCATTTATTAGATGAGGAAGTTGATGTTAATGAACTTGTTTAGGGTCAAGGTCGCACAACCTTTAAATCTGAATCTGTTTGATTCTAGTCTGTGTACACTTCAATGACTGTCCTCTATTTGATTTTGGCCTCCAATCACTAGCAGAGAGTACAGCAGATGGACAGGGAGGATCGGGGAGCAGTGGGGAGGTGGGACAAGGGGACCCATGCTTTGGAGTATAGGGCGCTGGGCCTAGAGGAGAAAGAGGTATAAAGAAGGGGTTAGAGCCAAGGAAGGGGAAGTGCAGGTGCAACACGTCCTGGCAGCCCAGCCCCACACAAGAAATACCAGTCTTTGGCTATCCTGGGTTTAATTCTTTTAAAGACTAGAGTTCCTAGGAAAAGAAAGGCTCTTAAGCACCTCCCAGTGTCCTGGTAACTTCACATTACAGATGAAATCACCCTGAGTCTCCAACTTGGGTTCTACCCCAAACCACATGGTCTCCACTGTGGGAGTGCCACCAGCACCGAGGCCTCCAACTGCAGGCCTACAAAGATGGAGCAGCAGAAGACATCTGCACCATCTTCTTGGCGCTTCAGATATCTTCATGTTCAAAGGAGCCACTTAAACTCTGCCATCCCTTCAACCTTCACCCACCACTTCCATCACCTGTGACCTGGCCTCCCTATCTAATCTGCTCCCTGTTTCTCTCTTGCTCAAAAGTCTTCACCAGTTTCTCATACAAGATCCAATTCAAACTCTACAGCCTTGACACCTCACATCCAGAACCCTTCCGGCACCCTCTGTCCACTCCAAGCCAATAGCTGGCCCTTTCTCCAACTCATCCTTGTGGCCTCCCTGCCAGGCCTTTGCTCTTAAGAACACCCCACCTATTAGACCTTCCTTGCTATTCTCATCTATAAAAATTCTCCCTCTTGGACAGACCCCTCTGGACTCCACCCCTGGGGAATCCCTCCCTGCTCCTGCAGGGCCCACCTGTAGCCTGAGGCCCATTTACCCTCTGCTTGGCAGCTGGTGTTTACTGCACGCTAACCTGATTTCCTGCTCCTTATCCATGCCACCTCTTCAGCTGGATGTCCTCTGATGTTCTACCATCCTTTTAGAAATCAGCTGTGTAAATGCAGGAGTTATATCCTTCCACATGTGAATTCTTGTGCCAACTCTTTCCCCTCTCTCTGTGCCTCAGTTTCCACCTTTACAGAAGAGTGATCTCTATGGTTCCATCAAAGTGAACAACACATCACCTCCTCCCTCCAGTCCTTTTCCAACCCTGCATAAGCAGCTTCTTACATATGCAGTGCCCAGCTTCAGAGTGCTCTGCTCTTAGAAGAGCCCCTGCCTTCCTGGAAGCCCAGCCTCCCACTGATATGGCTAAGCCCTAATTCTGCTATTCTCCACCAACTGTCCCTTGAAATGGCCAGGATCCTCTCTGGTTACTGCCAAGCCCAGCCAGAGTGAGAGGAAGTAACTCTGTGGGCAATGTAATATGCCTGCAGTTTCTCTTTCTATAGGAGAGAGAAAGCTGAAGGGTGAGGAGAAACATGGATTCCTAGAGAAGCCAGGTTCCTCGGTGCATTCAACACTCCTGGAGAGTAACTTTGGAACGACATTCAAAAAAAAAAAAAAAAACAGTGTTTTGACTGGTGCCTTTTGTGGCCTCCCCAAAGGGTGGCACCGAGGCTTCTGTAACCCTTCCCTACAGCTGTTCACTCCCACCGCTGACTCCTCTGCCAGCTGCATTTCAAGCTGGGCAGCAAAGCTGGATCCTGAGGAAGGTGCCCAGCTTTGTTTTAGGACCCCCGTGCCCCATCATTGCAAACCTGTCACTCTCCCTCATCATTCTAGTCAACTGGGCCCTATGCCATCCTGAACTCCCACAGTCCAGTGGGCACCAGGGCACGCAGGAAGCTCGGCAGCCAGGAGTCTACCCTTCCCTACTCTGCTACTTCTTCAGGCTGGTCAGTGCTGTCCCCCGTTTTGATTTTATAATCAGAGGGAGCTATTTCTCCTTCTCCACCCAACGTGGAGAATGAGCACGCAGAAGGGACTCATAGAGCCTGTCAACTGACACTACGCACATGTCCCTCGGGCCACCTTCTCTGCCCCTCCCCTTCAAAACCAAACAAAAACGGCAAACAGGAAACGCTCGTCTTTTAAAAATTACTCTATTATTATCAAATAGAACCACAGTATCCAAAAGGTAATTATAAACTTCTATCCCCAACTAAATGGCCCTGCACCGCCCCTCCGAGTGGCCGGCAGCCAAATCACTCCCCCCGTGCTGATTGATTTCATCCATTTTATTGTCAAGGAAATTAACAGCCCGAAGGGGTTCCCCAGGCCCACACTCTCCCCACAGAGGCCCAGGGGGAACAGGCAGCAAGCGACCAGGTCTCACTACCCAGCGTCCTTGGGAGGAGGGACGAAAGGGGAAGGGGGGCTCACAGCAGAGGGCTCGGGGCGCCCCGCCCCCGCCCGATGGGCTCGGGCCTGGCGCGGCCAAGGCAGGTGTCCGAGGGGGCTGGGCCCGCGCACCTGGCAGGGGCGGCGGCGGGGCGCACGCTCACTCGCCCGTGTGGGTCCGCAGGTGGTACTTGAGCGACTGCTTGTAGCGGAAGCACTTGGCGCAGTGCGTGCAGGGGTAGGGCCGCTCGCCCGTGTGCGCGCGCTGGTGCTCCAGCAGGTGGTGCTTCTGCGTGAAGCGCTTGCCGCACTCGGCACAGTGGTAGGGCCGCTCGCCCGTGTGGATGCGCCGGTGCTCCAGCAGGTGGTGCTTGCGGATGAAGCTCTTGCCGCACTCGGGGCAGGCGTGCGGCCGCTCGCGCGAGTGCACGCGGCAGTGGTTGGTGAGCTTGGACTTCTCGCTGAAGCTCTTCTCGCACTCAGGGCACTTGAAGGGCCGCTCGCCCGTGTGAGTCCGCTGGTGGCGCAGCAGGTGCGACGGGCGACTGAAGCTCTTGCCGCACAGGCTGCAGATGAAGGAGACCTCGTGCTTGCCGGCGTGCACGCGCTGGTGGATGACCAGGCTGATGTGCAGGCGGAAGCTCTTCTTGCACTCAGGGCACGTATAGGGCCGCTCGCCAGTATGCGTGATCTGGTGCTTAGTCAGACTCGATTTGTGGCTGAAGCTGCTGTCGCACTCGGGGCACTTGTAGGGCTTGGGGCCGCCACCGCTGCCTGAGCTGGGCGACTTGGGGCGCGGCTTGAGCGCGTGCTTGGGGTTGAAGCCGGGCCCGCGCTCCGGCGAGGCGTAGCCGCCGCGCACGCGGTGGATGCGCTGGTGCAGCGTGAGCTGCTGCTTGTGCCGGAAGCTGATCTCGCACTCGGCGCACTCGTAGGGCCCCTCCTTGATGTGGTTGCGCTGGTGGATGATGAGGTTGATCTTCAGCCGAAAGCTCTTGCCGCACTCCATGCAGGTGAAGGGCCGCTCGCCGCGCCGGTTCCGCTGCTGCTGGCTGGAGGCCCCGCGGTTCTCGCTCAGGTGACGCTCTCCGTGGGAGTGCGAGTGCGAGTGCGAGTGGGAGTGCGAGTGCGCATGCGTGGGGGGCGCCAGCCTCTTCACGGCCGGGTTTCCCAGCTGCAGGGGTGGGGGGCTATCCTCGCCTTCGGGGGACATCTCCCCAGGCAGCGGGGTCTGATACATACTGGCCTCATACCTCCCGGACAGCTGCCCAAGGGACTGCAAGTGCTGCGGCAGTTCATCGTCGTCCTCCTCTTCCTCCTCCTCTTCCTGTTCCTCTGTCTTTATCACGATCCCCTCTGCTCCAAGGACAGAGAAAGAGAGACGTTAGACCCTAAATTTGTGTGACATGAGAAAGTCACGTTGTTGTCTAGGGCCACTGACCTAGGTGGAGGTAGAGCATCACTTTCGTCATCAGGAGATACCGCATGTTACCTTGTAGGACCAAATTCCTTCTTTTGGGAAAATCTCACTCCCTGAGGATAATGGCCCCAACCCCCATGGGACTGGCCATGTAACCAAGGCTGGCTATGTATGGTGTTTGGTCAGGAACCAGCTTAGGTTTAAGCTGGGCCACTTAGAGTTCTCTCTTGGCATTTTATGCAGAGGAGACAGGGGAGGTGGCTCTCTGTTGGGCAAGATTGGAAGCTTCTGGTGCAGCAGCATCCAGCAGAAAAGGATACCAGCTCCAAGGTCTAGCGTAAGTGGCACCCAGATCCAGCTGTACCTGAACTTGTCCTACTTGTGAACCTGCCAATTATGTGAGTCCACAAACATTCCTTTTTTTTTTTTTTTTTTAAATTCAGTTGTCAGTGGACCTTTATTTGAGTGCTGTGCTGAGAATCAAACCCAGTGCCTCACACATGCTAGATGAGGGCACCACCCCAGCCCCACAAATGTCCCTCTTTCATTTAGGTTTTTGCCAACTGTATCAAAAAGTCTTGATTCAGAGTTTTCCATCTTATTTCTAAGGACTCCTTCACCTGAACTCAGCTAGACTGGCTTCCTTCCTTCCTCAACCCACCTGGAGATTCTCAGTGTGGCCCTTACTCCCCCTCCTCCAGCAATCCCCTCTCCTCTGAGTCTCGCGGCCTTCCTTGGTGGTCCTGATTCTCCTTGAGAACTTCCCTGGGACTCTGGCACCATGCCTTCTCTAGCATACTGTGAGTGTGTACTCACTGCTCCTTCAGACTACCAGTCTTGAACTCTGGGGTCAGGAGGGTGTGTGCAGTGCCCACATGTGGCTCTGACTAGTGGATGGCCTCCCCTCCTCCCAGCTCCCCCTGCTAGTCTGGCCCTTTTAGGCCTAAACAAGGCCAAGTTCTGCAGTAGTGCATGAGAATGTAAGTTCAAGGGGAAAGGAGTGGCCTTCTCCTCCTATAACCTCTGTTATTTTAAGTCACTGAATTTGTGTGACATGGGAAAGTCACTTCTGTTTTGTTTTTTTGTGGTGCTGGGGTTTGAACCGAGGGTCCCATGCATGCCGGGCAAGCCCTTCACCACTGAGCTACATCCTCTGCCCCAAAGTCACTCATTTCTTGGAGTCCATCTATTAGACGGGATAAAGTACCAGTCTGAGCTTGCAGAATTCTCACAAAGAACTCTTGGAAAGCACTTCCACACCTCTGCTTTCTCTTCAGATGCACAGTATCTTGGTACAGATAAAGTCAAGAATTATCCCCGTTTCACAGGTGGAGCATCTAAGTCCAGAGGTACCAAGTGATGTTTCCTAGTGAAATAAAAAGTCATACACCTTTTTGGAGCTTGCAGCCGAGGGACTGTCTGGTCTGGTCTACTCCCTCACTGACTGGGAAGCTGAGTCTAGTGATATCTGTGAGCTGGCCCAGGTCTTGTTCAGTTGCTAGTGATGCTCCACTGCTCCTCTAGGGCCTGTAAACTCGTGTTAAAATGGGCCAGTGGGCTGAGTCAGGGCTGCCTCTGCAGTGCAGGATTCCCAGCAGGAAGTGACTCAGAACATCCTTGGAGCACAATCCCTAAAAGATCAGGAAGGAGGGGGCAGCTGGTCACCCTGGTGTTTATCCTGAAAATATAGTCAGATCTAAAAGGCTGAGCCTTAGGGATGTAAACTCTCCTTGAGCACCAATGTCACTTTTTCCTTAATGAAATGATAAAAATGAAATATTTGGCCCTGAAATTCAAGACTCAAATTTCTACTAACTGCTTAGTATTTTCTAGGTTCTATTAGAATGAATGGAATTAATGGGGAATGCTCAGATAACAATCTGGAATTTATGTTATGATGTTTTCAGAATTTGCCTATGTCTTCCTGCTTTTATTTATTTTTTGGTACGAGGGATTGAACCCAGGGACACTCAACCACTAGCCACATCCCCAGCCCTTTTTTATTTTGAGACAAGGTCTTGCCAAGTTGCTTAGGGCCTTATTGGTGAGGCTGGCTTTGAACTTGTAATACTCCTGCCTCAGCCTCCCGAGCCACTGGGATTATAGGCGTGTGCCAATGCGCCCAGCTTTGCTCTTCTTTTATGAAAGAGAGTGTAGTATGTTAAAAAGACTTCTGGGGCTGGGGTTGTGGCACTGTGGCAGAGTGTTCACCTAACACATGTGAGGCACTCAGCACCACATAAAAATAAATAAATAAAATAAAGGTATGAGTCCATCTGCAACTAAAATAATAATAATAATAATAATAATAATAATAATAATAATAATAATTTTAAAAAAACTTCTAGAATACCATATGGTTATTTTAAAAATAAGGAGTTAGATCCATTGCTTGACGGTGTAGGATGCCCATGACCTCTGATTAAGTGCAAAAATGGCAAGCTATAGAAGAACTATAGATAAAATGGGAAAAAATCTAATAATTAGACTAAAACCAGCTGGGTTCTACCAAATTTTCAAGGAACTTAATTCTTACCTCATTATTATTATTTTTTTCACCCAGAATATGGAATAAGAGCAAAACCTGCCCAACCCATCTGATAAGTCTAGAATAATACTGTTTCTAAAACTAGATGAGGCTCATTCAAGAAAAGCTTAGGTTCATTGCATTTATGAATATAGTTATAAAACCCTGGAATAAAATATTTGTTAAGTCCAACAGCATGTTTAAAAAATACACCGTGCTGATGGTGTACACCAAATCCTGGAATGCAAGGGTGGTGGAGCCTCAGAAAAATCTGTCACAAAAACAAGTCCTGGATCAGGTGCTGTGAGCCCCACTGTCTTATATTCTTAAGGTTTATTTTTTAAAAAATCTTATTTTTCATGGGGTTCTTTATTTTTTTTGTCTTTTTTGGAACTGGGGATCAAACCCAGGGCTTTGTGAATGTGAGACAAACGCTCTGCCACTGAGGTACATCCAAGCCCTGCTTATATTCTTGTACTCCCAAGGAGCTACAGGTGCAGAATGATTAAACTGAGTTTTTTTGGTTTTTTTTTTAATAATGAACAAAAATGATGGCTAGATTCTACCAGGGAAAGACAGTATAGAGCAGTCATTTTAAAAACATGCTCTCCAGGGTTGAAATTTCCAAGTTGGTTGAGGCTTCTAATGTTAATGTGACAGGAGAATCAAGAACACCTTGGGAGGAGGAAGTTCTTTCTGGCTGTGGCCTTAGACAATGGATGTGACCTCGCCTGCCTCTAGGAGGGGGCTGGACAGATAATCGCCAAGATCTTTGAGTTCTTGTCTGAACCAGTCTTTGGATATAACAACTTCTTTCCTAGCCCAGTGCTGATCAGGATGTCTCCCCAACCCCTCAGTGTACAGATGTCTTTCTGGAAGACCCCTGCAGGCTTGCCTCACCTGCCTGGAGCTTACCTGTGCAGTTCCTCTGCTGCACCAGCATCTGCTTGAGCTGGCTGAACTCGCCTGAGCCCTCGGTGGACTCCTCCAGGGCGTTCTCCTGTTCCTGCATGTCCAGGTCTGGCTGCTCTCCACAGGGGTCGCCCAGCTCCGAGTCCTGAAAGCCATGTTCTTCCACTTGTCCCATCAGGGGCTCTGGTGTCTCCAAGCTTTCTGAGCCCTCGTCGTTGGTCTGTACCTCGATCTTAATCACGATGCCATCATGTGCTGAGAGGAGGAGGGGGAGAGAATCCAGAACACGGTCATGCACCTGCCCAGGTTTCCACAGCCTGAGAATTTACATTCCAACAGTTCTTATTTTAGAGATCCTGAAGAAATATAATAGAGTTGGTGGTGAGTGGACAGAATTTTCTGGGCACTTGTAGACTTGAACACCAATACAAACTGGAGTCGAGTTAGGACATTTGAAAAGTTTATTCTCTATCAGCCCCACAAGCTTTTAGAGAGAACTCATTCCCTTTCCCAGGTTGGGAAGCCAGGGGCCACACAGGGTCCCTGTGGCTGGCTGCTCATTGTCCAGGTGAATACAAAGGGGGCGGGCCTTCTCCCTTCTACTCTCACCCTTCCAGACCTCCTGGGGCTCTCCCAGCCCAAACTTTCAAGCACACTTAGGAGTACAATAGGAGCAGTTGGATTTTGTTTGTTTGTAAGCTAAACAGCATCCTTATCATACACTGTGCCTTAAACTATGTCTTTTAGCCCTCCCCATAGGTCTGTGGGTTACCTCAGCTGCAGCACTGCAAGTCAAGCCATCAGCTGACACAGGCTCTTGTGCATACCAGGGGTGCGTATCTTTTGACTTGGTGCCAATTAGGTTGTATTTTCTGACAACTTGTAAGAATTCTGGGTCTTGCATTAAAGACAACTCACTTTCTCATCTCTGTATTTCAAATATTTTTCCCCTCAAATTTGTCATTTGCCAGTTTTAGGTATTTTTTGCATTACAACTTTTAAAAAGTTTTCATATGTATCCCTCTCTTTCCTGGATTTTCTTAGTTCAAGTCTCCTCTGCTGCTAGATGGTGCGTCTGGTTTCCTAGATTATATCCCAAGTTTTTTTTTTTTTGGTTTTCTTATTAATTTTTTTGTAAATATGTTTATTTTTTAGTTGTAGTTGGACACAATACCTTTATTTTATTTATTTAGTTTTATGTGGTGCTGAGAATCAAACCCAGGATCTCGCACGTGCTATGCAGGCACTCTACCACTGAGCCCACACCCCAGCCCTTATTATTAACTTTTTAAAGTCTTCAATACTCTTGAAATTTATTTTTATTGTATATATGGTAGGAGGTATGTGTTCAAGTTTATTTTTTTTTTTCATATGGATAGACTTTTGTTCTAGCATAAGCCCCTTTAATGTTGAGAAAACACATTTTTTAGTTGAGGAAATGATAAAAGTGTAATACATAAATATATTCATTCTTTCATTACATGTTCATTGGCATTTCCTGAGCACCTGCTGAGGGCCTGCAGTGTTCTCCTGACCCAGGATATGTCAGTGAACAGAACTACATCTCACATAAGCCAGTAAACACAGTAAGTAAATTATATTATTCCTTAGAAGGTGACAGTGCTGTGGGGGGGGGGGGGAGCAAAGTCAAGTGAAGGAGGCAGATAGCCCTGCCCACAAGAAGCCTCCTCCTGTCCTGTCTGTTCTTTTCCAGTCCAGTGTGGAACAGGTCACAGAGTAATCAGACCAACCACTAGGCTGAAAAGAGATGCTCTGTGACCTAATGCTGGGTCATTTCTGATGCTCGGCAACCCTTAATACCTCCCTGATCAGTCATGACAACCCATTGGGAAGTAGGTGGAATATACAGCAGCTCTAATATTCCCATGGTGAGGTTTTGATAGCCTTCAGTGTGGACCCTGGCTACCTTCCCTTGGGGCAGGGGGAATGTCCCACTCTCACCCTACAAAGGTTTCTGTATCCTATTCTCTAGTAAACAAAACACAAAAGTCACCCACATTTACACCTCCTCCTGTTCAAGCTGAAAGTCACCACCTTTCCCTTGCTATGGTTTGGATGCTTTAAGGGTTTGTGTAGTAATTAGGGTCCCAGCGTAATGGTATTGAGGTCATGGGGCCTTGAAGAGATGATTAGATTGGGGCACTGCCCTTGTGAGGGTAGTCATGCTGATCTCTCATGGTGGGTTACAGAAAGCTAGCTATTACAAAAGAGCAAGGTTGGCCTCTCTGAGCTCGTCTCATCATGTGATATCTCCCTCTCTCCCTCTCTCATGTATTCCCACCATGGGGCCATCTGCCATGCTATGATATAACCAGAAGGCCATCACCAGAGTCAAAAGGTGCTGACGCCATGCTCTTTGACCTCCATAAGCTTATTTTCTGTATAAAGTGCCAAGCTTCAGTTATTTTGTTACAGCTACATAAAATGCCCCCTTTTCTCACCAATCTCAGGAAAAGTAGGGTCCCATCTCCCCCTTCTTCCTTTAACCCAAATCCTCTGTTCCTTAACCTTGCCCATGTTTTCCTTCTGGAAATTTGCTCCAAAAGTATGTTCCTTTCTCCTGTCTTCAAACTTTGTCCCTGTACTAGATCATTATGCTCCCTCCACAAACATGACTTTCTTGTTTCACAAACTCTTGAAATATTTTGGTTGCCTACTCCCTAAAATAATTATTCAAAACTGTGTGCCCCTTTGCACCATTCTGAATAAATATATGAAATGCGTCAGTAACTGCAAAAGATGTAATTTCTGGAGTATTCTAAATATTGATATTTTGAAGTAAACCCTTCCCTCATACCTTAATGTCACCAGTGGAATCTAAGAACCCTAGCAATTTTTAAACCCACCATTATTCACTTAAAAAAAATATGTGAACAAGTACTTCTTTGACAGTTGGAATTTTTACATCATTCCTTTTCACCTTGAACTTCTATTTCCATTCCCACTTTGCCCACAACATTTTATCCTAATAGAGCATATTTTTATGCTTAGAAGGCTTTTACTGATCGCTTCATCTGCCACAAAAATGTGTTTGTAAATTGAAAGTTTAATTTTGCTTTCATTTCTAATAACCATAGGGCTATAGGTGTTCATTATTTTCCTGGATGAGGTTATCCTTTGTGATTATTACTACAGAATGATAACCAATTATCCAAGATAGAAAAGAAAAAACTTTTGGAAATGTATCTTTTGAGGATGAATAGGGATTATTTTTTTTCCAATTAGTTCACATATCTGAGAATGAATACATATTCTTATTGTATTAAGAGACAGAGTTCAGAATCAGTTCTATTCTAATTTTCATTTTCATAAATGCAAGCATTGGGAAACCTCATTTCATCAATATGTAGATGGGTTAGAAGAAGCTGTTATGAAACTGTCACTCGATTCTTTGAATTTATCCTGAATTATATGCCACAAAAATCACATGGTTAATATATTATAAAAAATTGTGGGAATGGGATTGTGGCTCAGTGGTAGAGTGCTTGCCTAGCACATGTGAGGCAGTGGGTTTGATCCTCACCTCAGCACCACATAAGAATGAATGAATGGATGAATGAATGAATGGATGAATGAATAAATAAACGCATTGTGCTCATCTATAACTAAAAATATATTTTTTTAAATTGTTCTTAATGGCCTATTAGCTGACAAATTGATTAGTTTCTCTTTCAATTTTGTTGAAAGGGAACTATTTCAAACAATCTAACTTGGAATAGAATTTGCCTTTCAGGCCCAAGAGATGCACTTCTTGTCATGTACATCCTGGATTCCCTCTGTTTGGTGACCCAAAGGGGCTATATGAAGAGGAGTGCTCCATAGTGAGAGGGATGGCCAGGAGGGGCCCTCTGTGTTTTTACACAGTGGAAGACATGGGAGATGAGGACACATTTCAGGAGCCACATGTATGTATGTTGGCCAATCAGTTTATGAATGAGAACGGGGGCCAAGGACCTGCAAAGGGAGCCTCAAGGCCACCCATGTTGTGCTCCTCTTGGAGAAGTTCCTATGTCCTCAAGACCATGAGTGCTTGGCTTGAAGACGAGTGTCTCTGCACCTGCCCTGACCCAGAGACCCAGTCCATGTCCCCTGTTCCACCCCACACCTAACTAAGCTGTCAGTGAAACCTGGCTGGCCTTGGAACCCAAGCCCTTCTCCCTCCCCTCTAGGGCACTGCATGCTCCCTCAAAACATCTTTTCATGCCCCCATTGCTTGTTATATAGACAGTAGGGAGCCAGTGCTCCCCACCCCAAACAACTTTGGTAAGCATATGTACAAACAAACTGCATTTATAAGCATTTACAACTTAAAAAGCCTGGGACATCAGTTTTACAGCTCTGAAAAGAGAAGCAGGTCATTCCTCAACCTCTAGGGCCTCAGATAATTCTTCTAGAAGCTGTATGGCCATTGGTACCCAACACCTCAAATGCATCTAAGCCACATCAACTATTAAGTTTTTGCTGTAAATTGTTCTGAAAGATGTTTGCTTTGACACTGGCTCTGAGAATTTCACTTAATCTGTGATTGGCTCTTGATCTCTGTAATTACATGTGCACCTAAGAACTCTTGAGAAATGGGAAAATCTAGCCTACAAATTGTTTTCAAATATATTAAATGTTTTTGAAGCCTGAACTTAATAATTGATGGAACAGATATAATACTATATTCTGGAGACACTTAGTTAAAATAAACATTTGATTATTTACATTTAGCAATTTTCTTTTTGTTTCCTAGACAAGGAGAAAAAAACAGTTTCAAGTTTTTAATGCCTTCATGGGTTTTCAAGAAGCTCATGGAGCCAAGGCCTGTGATGGTAGGTAGCATTTACCAAATAAAATGGCCTAGATAAATAAATTTGCACTTGACAGGAAACCAAAATACCATAAAGAAAATGATAAGTCTGAATACACAGAAACTTAAAATGTGTGAATTTGACACCATGAACAACCACAAGACTGGGATCCCAATTAGAATAAAATATACTCAATATCTGTATAAATATGTCAAAACATGTTCTATCATCATGTATATCTGAAAAGAACAAATAAAAACTTAAAATTGCTATACTATACATATAATACTATGGTCAAAAATAAACCCAATACCAAGGAAAATATTTGGATACATATGATACACATGAGCTAATATCCTTGGAATTTAAAAAACTTTTTGGCTGGGTGTAGTTTGGTGGTACGAGGCTTGTCTAGCATGTAGGAGGCCCTGAGTTTGATCC